TATTGAACATGCACTGTGTTGAACTCATTGAACTGGAATTGGCAAGACACAATTAAGCTGCTCATGGCAGGGGGGTTGGAAGGGAATGATTATTGAGGCTCCTTCCAACCCGAACCATTCTATGATCCTATAAAAATTCCCAGTGCTAGTGACGACAGTTCTGTGAAATTTCCAATAATTTCCTTTATGGTGCATCCCACAGAGATGGAAGCTAATGATAAAAATACAATGTGATTTCCAGCTTAACTCAAAGGGGTCACCTATATTTGTTAGAAAGCAATTTAATTCCTTCCCCTCCCTGAATAGCTGCACCTCTCAGCACTGGTGTGACCTGAATTATTGCTGGTGCTGAGGTGGAGGACAGCACTTGAAACCCTGCCCAGTCCTTAGTGTTCTGTCAGGGGGAGTAAAAGGGTGGTGGGGGTGCAAATCAGATGCCTGAATAAACCCCATCCCTGTCCATCTCACTAGAAGCTGTGGATGGGAGAGGATAATTTCACGTGGTGGTCTCTGTTTTGAGACCCTCGCTGGGTTCCCAGCAGTGCTGACTCTGTGATTCCCTTGACTTTGCATATCCACGTGGATATTGAACACCCAGGTTGTAATAACCCCTGTCATTGCTCAGGCTTTAAAACCCACTTGTAGCCTGGGCTTGCACAGGGCAGTTTGAGAACGTGGGACCATCTTCACGAGACCTGTGTGTCCACCTTTACCTTCTCTTCTGATGTTGCTTTCCACTGGCAACTTCCTTTGTTCCTGGTGCCACTGGGGTGGTTTCTCCAGTGTCTGCAGTGTTGCAGCCCCACCACGAGTACTTTACTTTGTGCTCCTGCAGAGTTAGATTGAATTAGGAAATCATTTAAGTTGGAAAACACTTCTAAGATCGAGTCCAACCATCAACTTCACCACTAAAATGTGTCCTCAAGTGACACATCCATATGAGTTTTGAATACAAAAGGAAAGGCCTTTCTTCAAGGCCAGATTGAACAGGGCTTGGAGCAAACTGGTCCAGTGGAAGGTGTCCCTGCCCATGGCAGAGAGGTTGAAATGAGACCATCATTAAGGTGGTCCCTTCCAACCAAACCGTTCTGGGATTCTATAAAATTCCAAGCGGTTGCTGATAACTTGCTTTCTAAGAGGTGAGATCCTTGCCATCAAATCCCTCCTGGTTTTGTGTTGCCTCTATTGCAAGGGCTGGTTCCGTTTAACATCAACATCTCCAACCACTTTGTTGTTTAGGAAGGCTGCTGTCATTAGATCCTCTAGAGAATTGGTGCATTTCATCAGGCCTGGGCTTAATTTCCTGTTGGCCTTGCAGCTCAGCCGGGACACTTCCCCATCTCCACAGCTGGCAGCAGCTCTGGAACGCGGGGAGGTGGCAGAGATGTCTGCCCCGGAGGCGTTTGTGACAGATTAATTAGCGAGCAAAGATCTCTTCTGAGCCTCCTCGTTTCATCCTGTCACTTCCCGTCCGAACGTCTCCAGGCTCCCGCGGGGCAGGGGGAGCTCGTTCCGCTCTAACAGCGCGTTGTTTTTGCAGGCTTTGGACTTCAGCTTGGATGGGAAGGTGAACTTGACGGAGCTGACGCTGGCCCTAGAGAATGAGCTCCTAATAACCAAGAATGGGGTCCACCAGGCAGCCCTGGCGAGCTTCAAAACGGAGATCAGGCACCTCGTGTGAGTCACCGGGATCGCTGGATGTGCTGCTCCGTGGGGCCAAGCAGGAACTGAAGGGGCAGCTGAGGAATGGTGGTGTGGACGTGGCACTGGAAGGCTCAGTTCTCTCTTAGATTCCTCCCAAACTTCCAGCTGTCTCTTTTTTTTTTTTCTTTTGGAACACTCACCCCAAGGATTGCAGAAAAATATAGTGGAAAAATAAAAAAATGAAAGCAGGATGGTGTTCCCGGTCTGGGAACAGTGTGGAAGTGGTCACTGCTATTCCCAGTGGTCATGGATGGCCAAGGGATGCACAGCTTAGGATGGAGGCTGGTGCAGTTTGTTATCAGTACCTTTAATCCAAACTGATTTCTTGTATCCCAGATCTTTTGCCATGTGATAGACGTGAGAGGAAGGTACAAAGTCACCGTGTAACCCCCCTTTTTTCATTTGAAAGTCAACACAGTTTGACTTTGCACTGGGCTTGCCATGCAGGTTTCTCTGTTCAGAGAGTGTGGGAGATGGGAAACATTTCCCTGTGTGTGTATTTATTAATTTATAACTTATATATATGTATTACTGAAGCTCAAATCTTTTTTCCCACACACCAATTGATCATCTTGCCCACCCCACTTTGGAGACCCTGGCTTTAAGCACTGCACCCTCAGTTTTGTGTGGATTTACTCCTGTTGTGATTGCTGCATCCATCTGCCATGCATCCAAGCTCCAGTTGTGTGTGGTGTTTTGTTTGTACTGTAAATCTTTAAATAGTTTAGATATTCAGGGTATTCATACTCATATATGATAGGCTGGAAGAGCTGGGGGTGTTCACCCTGTAGAAGAGAAGGCTCTTCCCTGGAGGAAACCTTTGAGCCCCTTCCAGTACCTAAAGGAGCTCCAAGAGAGCTGGAGAGGGACTTTGGACAAGGGCTTGGAGGGACAGGACAAGAGGGAACAGCTTCCCACTGACATAGGGCAGGATTAGATTGGTTTTTGGGAAGGAATTCTTCCCTGTGAGAGTGGTGAGGCCCTGGCAAGTTGCCAGGTTGCCCAGAGAAGCTGTAGCTGCCCTATGCCTGGAAGTGTCCAAGGCCAGGTTGGACAGGGCTTGGAGCAACCTGGGATAGTGGAAGGTGTCCCTGCCCACGGCAGGGGGTGAAACTGGATGATCTTTAAAGTTCTTTCCAACCCAAATGAGTCCAGGATTTGATGAATTTGGGAAACTTGAGGTCTCAGGACCTATGGGGATATTAAGACATGTCTGGAGCTGTGGGTGCAAGTTCAAATCTAGTAACTAAATGCGGTTGATAAGACCCTTGGGGAGCTTTCCGAGCTGTTCTCCTCTCCCCCAAAAAACCCTTTGAGGGAGCAGGAAGGGGTGACCTAACCCAGGATGGCTCTGCTTCCCCTAGGGAGAGGTTTGACCAAGTGGCCAGAGAGAAGGAGAAGCTGCGGTCGGACTTGGAGAAGGCCGAGAAGCTGAAATCCCTGATGGCCTCCGAAGTGGACGATCACCACGCCGCGATTGAGCGCCGGAACGAGTACAACCTCAGGTGTGGTGTCCCAAATCAGCCCTCCCCTCCTCCTTGGCACTGCTGCCACAGCATCACGGGGACTTTGTGACATGGGTGGTGCCTTCACTCCCAGCATTGCTTGCCACCTTCTTCTTTAAACAAGCTCTTGATGCCTCCGTAGGAAGCTGGACGAGGAGTACAAGGAGCGAATCGCGGCCCTGAAGAACGAGCTCCGGAGAGAGAGGGAGCAAATCCTGCAGCAGGCCAACAAACAGAGGCTGGAGCTGGAGCAGGAGATTGAAAAGCTGAAAACAGATGAGAATTACATCCGGGACCGCCTGGCCCTGTCCCTGAAGGTAACAGGGACCTGAGAGTTGGGGCTTCCCCCGAAAGGGAGGGATGTGCTGAGCGGGGAGCGATGCTTGAGGAGAGGATGTGTTATGGTGTGTGTGGAGCTGGCCAAAAGTAGTTTAAGCAGCCAGATGGATGTGTATCCATGAGAATCAGTTTTTGGGTCACCTCCATGGGCTGTTCTTTGGATTGCTAAGGCTCCAATTCAAACCTCTGCTGCCATCAAGTGCAGAGCGTGTGTGTGCACGGCTGACTTGCTGGATCTTTTTCTGTCCAGCCAGAAGGTAAAACATCTTGACAATGCTTAAAATATTGCTTTAAAAATAAATAAAAACACCCCAGACACCTAAAGCAAACCCCAAACATCTCGCTGTTATGCCTTTTGATGCTTAATCACAAGTCCAGCGTTCACACTTGGCTGTGGCAGGAGTGGGTTGTGTGGATTCATAATTCCTGTCTTTGGCTGAAGCTTGGAACAGTGTCATGCTCCAGCTTGAATGGGAGTAACTCTTTTTTTTTTTTTTTTTTTCAAATGAGTTAACACAAGCTTATATTTTCCTCCTCCAAATGCTGAGGGTGTTGTGGGGGGGTTTTTGTTTGGTCCAGGAAAACAGCCGCCTGGAAAGCGAGCTGCTGGAAACGGGAGAGAAACTGGCCGAGTGTGAAAGTCTGGCAAGCAAACTGCAGAGGAACTTGGAAAACGTCCTGGCTGAGAAGGTAAACCCTCCTTTTCCCGGTGGGATTCCAGAATTAAATCCCTTTTAAGTTTCTACGCTCGAGCTGCCAGTTTAAGTGACAGCCAGAGGCTCCTGGGGTCCTTATCCAGGTGGGACCAAGGTGACATGGATTACTTTCCAGCTAAGGGAATTAAAGATGCTCCACCTTAGCTGTAATTTTACTCTAATTAAAGTAGGAAGCCTTAGAATGAAGGAATCATCCTGCAAATCTGCGGGGATTTTTTTTTCCTCCTCCTCAGTGCAAAATTTTGGATAAACCCAACATGCAGGTCCTTTCCAGGGAAGTGAATCCATGAGGAGTTAAGTGTTATATGGCATCTCTGCTGAAATAATGTGAAAATCAAAGTGAATGCCTGATCCTGGCTGTGTTGCTTTAAACTCATCAGAATATCAGCTTCTCCAAAGGCATTTGAGTTTGTGCATCCATAGACAAAATGTTCATATGCTGGGATTCCCACCCAGCATCTGTTTTCCAGGCTTCTCGAAAGTTTGGGATTATTTATTGTACAGAGATGTGCATGTGCTAAACTAGAAAACTGAAATCAGAGGGAGCATGAGAACTGTGGTGGCAGACAGTGTTTTGAGGGAGGTTGCTTTTTGTTTCCCACTAGCAGGGAAGTAGAGTTTCTTTATTTAAAATGAAAAATAGAAGGGGAGGAGGCATAGGCTGCAGGACTGCTGGAATGGGCTGCAGGAATGGCATCCATGCTGTGCTGAGCTGGGCTGTTTGGTGGGTGAGTAACTGGATCCCATTCATGTGTTTCAGTTTGGTGACCTGGATCCCAACAGTGCAGAGTTTTTCCTGCAGGAGGAAAGACTGGCCCAGATCAAGAGCGAGTACGAGCAGCAGTGCAGAGTAAGTGGAGCCCAAAGCTGAGACCTGACACCCTTCTTCACCAAGACTATCACAGAATCATTTAGGTTGGAAAAGCCCAACCGTACCCCCAGCACTGCCAAGGCCACCACTAACCTTGGTGGTGTCCCCAAGTGCCACATCCTTACTGCAAACAGCAGCACAGAGGGGCTTGGAAAGCTCTTCCCACAGAGGCAACTGGCTAAGCTGAAAAGGATGAGGTGCCCCAAGGGTGGACTGGGAAAGGGTCTGTGGAGCCCTAGGAATTCAGAGTTGCAGGAACTTGCAGCAGAAATCAGATATATCCACACCTTGCTGGTTTCCAAACCACTGGTGTTTTATTAAAATAAAACTGAGAATGGAAAGTTTGTTTTCTCCTCCCCAAATCTTGCATGGCTGAAAGACTTCTTCGAGGTGAGCCTGCAGGTTATCTATTTACATACCTACTTTCTGATGCCTGCAGTGGTACCAGCTCGTCTGTTGCCCAGAGAATCTGTGGCTGCCCCATCCCTGGAAGTGTTTGAGGCCAGGTTGGACAGGGCTTGGAGCAACCTGGGGTGGTGGAAGGTGTCCCTGCCCATGGCAGGGGATGGAAGGAGATGGGCTTACAGGTCCCTTCCAAACCCAAACCAGTCTTGGATTTTATGGTTCTATGATCTGTTCTGCACGATCCTTTTCATTTTGCATCGTAGAATCATCATAGAATCCCAAAATGGTTTGGGTTGGAAGGGACCTTAAAGTCCATCCCATTCCACCCCCTGCCACAGGCAGGGACACCTTCCACTATCCCGGGTTGCTCCAAGCCCTGCCCAACCTGGCCTTGGATACTTCCAGGGATGGGGCAGCCACAGCTTCTCTGGGCAACCTGTGCCAGGGCCTCACCACCCTCACAGCTGGGAATTCCTTTCCAATATCCCATCTAACCCTTCCCTCTGGCAGTTTGAAGCCATTCCCCCTTGTTGTTTTGCTGATAGGAGGGATGACTGTGGCATGATGGATTATTGACAAGTCTTTCCCTCCTGTAATTCCCACCTAAGTGTCTCATGGTTGATGGGTTGGATGCTCAGCTGCTTTGGTTCCTTTCGCTCAGATCTCCCTTTCCTCCCTCTCAGGAGCTGCAGGACCAGATCGATGAGCTGCACTCAGAGCTGCAGGAGTACCGTGCCCAGGGCAAAGTGCTCAGGCCTTCCCTGAAAAATTCCCTCTCGGAAGAGTTCGATATCGACGTGAAGAGTCACGGCAACAGCGGGATCGAGCCTGACCAAGGTAAAGAACGTCTCCACCGGGACCAGGATCTGTGTTGTAGGGGTTGATGATAACATCTGGGAGGTAGTTCCATGAAAAACTTCCCAGTGAGACTTGATCACCACCTCTGTTTTGACATGTAATGTTGATTTGGAATATGGCTGCTGGTTTATATTTAAAGCCGAAATTAATATTTTCAGTCACTCTGTCTGTGTTTGTGATGGGAATTTGAGAGCTGCAAGTGGCTGCCTAAACAAATTTAAATTGATGAAATAATTCTGTTGAGAATTTTATATATTTATATGTTATGTAATGTTTTTATTCTAATATGAATTACTACTATCTAATTTTTATTTCTAAAGGACTTGGTTCAGAAGACTGCAACCCACTAAATATGAGCATAGAGGCAGAAATGGCCATTGAGCAAATGAAGGAGCAACATCACAGGGATCTACATCACCTCAAACAGGAGCTTGAAGACACAGTAAGTGCTGGAATGAGATGGTCTTTAAGGTCCCTTTCCCACCCAAACCATTCTGGGATTCTGTGATCCCAGTAAGAAATAAAGCTTTGCAGGGGAAATCAATATAAGATGATGACGTGTAAATCAAAATGTTTAATAAAATGAATATATTAAAACTACGATATGGAAATATTGGGGAAGACATCTCCGTAGAATATTCTGTGGGAAATGAATGAATCAACCCTGTTTTCCTTTTGCAGGTGAGCCACTATGAAAAGCAGCTGGACGAGACAAAAGCCCACTGGGAAAAGGAGCAAGAGGATATGAGGAAGAAGTACTCCGAAGAGATGAATGTCATGGAAAAGCAGATCACTGGCCTCAAAAATCAAATAGCAGAGCTGCAGGGAGAGGCAGCAGCGCTCAGGGAACAGCAGGAAGAGCTCGACAGCAAACACAACGACGAGAAAAACAAGCTACAAGTGTGTTTTGAGGAGGAAAAAGCCAGCCTGCAGGAACTGCTGAGGCAGGAGCACGAGGAGGACGTCAGGGCCAGACTGGAGCAGGTGAACGAGAAGTTCAGCCAGGAACGGGAAGAACTGATTCAGAACGGTGTCTGGGTGGAAGAGAAGATGAGAGTCCTGGTGCAGACGCTGCGGGAGGAGAAGGGAGAGCTGGAGCGCGGCTTCCACGAGCAGCTGAAGAGGCTGGCTGAGGTGCACGCCCTGGAGAAGGAAGAGCTGCAGCAGGAGCTGCTGAGGAAGCACGAGCAGGAGCTGGAGGAGGAGAGGTGAGTGTCTGGTGTGCTGAACCTCCGTGGCTTGGCGTGGTGTGCAAGCTGGGCCTAGTGCAGATGAACCCATGACACCTAATTCCAAGTGTTGTGACCGTACACTGCTGTTCCCTGTCCTATTCCACAACACTGGGCTGCTCACCAGGGTTTTGTTTTTTTTTTTTTTTCCCTTCTGACCTTTCTCAAGCAGGTATTTATATTAATTTTTAGCTTGCCCAGAGGCAGCAATGGTGTTAAAGCATAACCAGGCGTGATTAACTTGAGCTCTGTTCAGGATCCCTGTGCTTTACAAATCCCTGCTTTGTCCTTCTAAAACATCTGGGTTTTCAGAGTTCTTGGCTGAAGAAAGAAAGGGATGGCTGGGAAATGCTTTTTAAGCCAACATCACATATCAAAAGCAACTAAAACCATCCTGGGGTGATGAGGGAGATAAGGGTAAAAATATCTACCCCCACAAATCTCAGCACAGGAACAGAAAGGACACACACTGCCCATGAAACCTTTTCTGAGGACATTTCATGAGTTGTTACACTCTTCCAAAGGTTCTCCTTTTTGAAGTTTCACCAGATTGTCTCAATTTTAACGTTAGCTCTCAGAAACACCCGTGCAATAGTACGAAACTCAGTGAAAAAGGTATTTATTTTTTATTCCAGCTTGTTTTATTCAAAAAGCCATTTTGAATCTCTTTGAGGTAGCCCAGAGTTTAGTAATATTTTATATTGACCGTGTTTAGGAATAAAATGGCAAGTGACTATAACAGAAGAGCATCTCATGCACAAACTCAGTTTTCTGTGGACACACAAACGCTTGTGAACAGATATGAAGAGACTCTGCAAAGCCTGGAAGGACGTTACCAGCGGGAGCTGCGTCAACTCGCAGAGCAGCAAAGGGAGGAGAAATCCCAGTGGGAGTTTGAAAGGAATGAGATTGCTCAGGAGGTCGCTGAAGCCCACGAGCACCTGAAGGAGAGCCTGGCAAATGAAAAGGCTGTTTCTTCTGCCCTGACCCAGGAGAGAGATCTCCTGGAGAAGAACTTCAAGGAAGAGGTGAACAAGCTGGTGTGCGAGAGGGAGCAGCTCGAGAAGGAGCTGCGAGACCTGAGGAGCGCTGCCGAGGAGCAGGAGAAAAAGCTGAGGGAGAAGATAGCCCAGCTCCAAAACGACCATGAAAAAGAGCTTAAGGACAAAGACGAGTTAATATCCATGGTGGAGGAAAATGGGAAGCTGGTTAGGCAAAAGCTGGAGAGACTGGACAGTGAGTATAAGCAAGAGAAAGAGGAGCTCAACTCCAGACTTCTCGCTCTGGAGAGTTTAAACAAAGACATTTGTGCAAGGGCAGAGACAGAAAAGGCAGAGATGAGTTTGGAAATCTCAGCCCTTCAAGGGAAAATACAGAAACTGCAGTGGGAGGCGCGTGGTTTTTCCGCCCTACGAAGCCATTACAGGGCCCTGGAGAGCGAGTACGCAAAAGCCAAGAGCAAAATTGCTTCTTGCCCTGGTACAGCACCTCTGGGGGATGATGCAGAAGTTCTCCAAAGCCTGCAGAAGGTGCACGAGCAGGCTGTGAAGGAGAATGTCAGGATGGCTGCCCAGATCCTCAGGCTGCAGCACCGGCTCCGAGCTGTGGAGCGGGAACGACCTCCCAGTCCCGGCTGCTCCGACTCCGGCTCAGAACCAGAGGGAATGGATCCCAGTTTTGAAGGGTTGCCCAGTGATTGTCAAGATGCAGAGAAGGAAATGGATTCAAATGTCCTTCCACCTTTGGAGGCTGACAGTACAGACCTGGAAGATCTGACAGAGGTGGATTCAGATTTGGAGGAAGAATGTGGCCACACACTCAAGGCACAGGGGTGTTGGATACAAGGAAGTGAAGCAGCTCTGGATGCTGATGGCAGTCAGGATTGTGACAGGAACCAAGAGCTGCTTTCTTGGGTGCCTCTGCTGCCAAAAAAGAGGGATCTCGAGAAAGTTCCCAGAGCAAAAATGCTACACAACGATGTTAGACTGCAGAAGGTTCCTCCACTAAATGGGAGAATAGCTCCTAAAAATAAAGGGTTTGTTTCTGATGCTTTGAAGCTGCAGGTTGAGCTTGAAAAGGCTGAAGAACTGAGTGAAGCCTCTTCCCTGTTGGATCACACTCCTGGATCAACAAATGGTGACCTGAAGAGCGTTATAGCTCAGCTTTGGAAAAGGGTCGAAGAGTTGGAAGACAGATCCATGGCACAGGCTGAACTTCTGTCACTGCAGGAAGAAATTCAGGTGGAAAACGAGGATCTGAAAGCTGAAATGATGCAGTTAATTGAAAGGAATAAAGTGCTAGAAGACAACCTGGAAAGACTGAGAAGCCTTCATTGCAAACGGGGAGAAAGCGAGCTGGAAAGCGTCGAATTCAAGGAGGAAAACACGCAGCTCCTCCAGAACATCACAGAACTGGAAGATGTCCAAGAGCAAGACGTGGATTTGCACAGTGACACGAGAGGTGGGAAGCTGGAAGAACATCCCACAGAGTTCACAGGTCAGCAAGACAATTCCCAGAGCGACGGCGCGGCGAGAGGGGCGTTGGTGGAAAAGCCCGACCGGGAGGAGAAGGCGGCTGCTCCGGGCATCCCAAACTCCGCGTCCTTCCACCGCGAGGGCAAGGAGAGGAGCGTGGTGACACAGGGCTTGCAGAGCACGTGCACTGAGCTGCAGCAGAAGGTTGATATCCTGAGGTAACGTAGTCTTGCACCGGCGTGCCGTAGCCACACTAACCCCGATCCCACCCACCGCTCCACACGCTGCACGGCTCCTGCATTAACCACTCTAGTCTAACTCTTGAGTAGCAAGCAGTGCCATGGACTCCTAACTCTTCTAATCCTGGATAACCACCGTTGGAATAAATAAATAAATAAATAAATAAATGTGTGTGGCTTCTCTCCCTGACCACGACCTAACCCGAGTGGTAAACCAGGAGCGACCTGCCAGCTGTCCTGTGGACGTAGTCACCATCACAGTGTGTAGTTTATAATACAGAAACCCCTGTATTTCCATGTCCAAAATCCATGGTAACACTTCCAGATTGCTTTTAGCTTTTACTAATATCACTTCACTCCGTTTGTTCCCTTCTAGTCCTGAGTGTTGCTCGGAATGCTGAAATTGCTCCTATTTTTCACAGTATTTCACTTAATACTGGAGAATTATGGTAATTTGAAATGCTAAAAGGGCTTCTGCTTTTCCTCAATATTTAAGTTAATACAAGAGAATTATAGTGGCTTTTTGTTCCCAGTTAGGTGTTTGATATGGTAAATACCATTATAACACAGAGAGTATCATAGGTTTTACCTACTTGTTTTTAACTGCTGTATTTCAGCAAGGATTTTTATTTTTTTTTAATGGATAAAGTGGCTACAAGTGGCTTGATTATTGTTCAGCACCAGCTTCCTGCAGGAAATTGTTCTTTCAGGTGTCATAATGTGGCTAAGTTATTTCTGTACAGTCGCCTGAGGACAGAAAAGGCACTTTCCAACAGTGCTGTTCCCAGAATTCTGAGTTCCAGTTGGGGAAACAGCTTGCTTTCCTGGCAATCTCCACATTGTGGGGTGAAGCTATTTGTAACTTAAGGACTGAAAGATATAGAAGCTTTTTAGATTTTTAACTGTACAAGAACATGCCAAAAGAGCCCCCTTTTTTTAACGAACTGGGGAGCGCTCTTACTAAAGAAATGTGAAATATGAATATACTATTTATACATAAAACAAGCCAACTGTAGCTTTGCTTTGAAGCGTTACAGGTATATCTCAGGCTTGGGGGACTTTTTCCACCCTGGATTGTTACACAGGGACTGTTCTCACTGTCTCCTCCCCCTGCCCCAGATGCGAGGCCGAGAAGCTCCGAGAAGAAAACGCCGTTCTGAAAAACGAGGTGACTCTGTTAAACGAGGAAGGAAGCGCTTCCAGCCTGAAGCTGAGGGAGCTAAACGGATCCAGGGAAGAGATGAGGTGAGAATTCCCTGGGGCACGTGCCCAGTGGTGCCTTCAGGCTGTTGCTGCAGTACAGTGGGTTTATATCCCTTCTCTCCGAGCTCCTTCGCGCGTGAGATTTTCTACAAATCTGAAATGGGCTCGTTTCGTGGTGCTGTTGGAAATCTCCAGCAGGTTGTCAGGCTATTCCTCATCCTTCTCCCTGCCCATTCCTAGAAGCCAGGCTTAGCTGTAGGCATTGAGATGACCCAGTAACACACACAAGCACAGGACCTACTTAGGAGCTGACCTGATGCAATTATTTGTGCTTCAGCAAAGGCAGGGAAAGGCACACATGTGGCAGATTATTCCAGTCATTTGGTCTTGGATAAGTACAGAACTTATTCTTCTCTTCTAGAAAAGACCTCCATGGGGCACCTTGAGGGTTGAATTCTTGCCAAACGTATGCAAAGCAGTGATGCTGAGCCAATAAATAAATATCCAGAATTATATCATTTTTGACGATGCTAAAAACCAGCCCATTCTTAAAATCATGGAATCATTAAGGTTGGAAAAGACCTCCAAGATCATCAAGTCCAACCATTGACCCAGCACTGCCAGATCCACCACTAAACCTTGTCCCCAAGTGCCACATCCACGTGTTTTTTGGACACTTCCAGGAATGGGAACTCCACCCCTTCCCTGGGCAGCCTGTGCCAGGGCTTGACAGCCCCTTCAGTGAAGGAATTTTTCCTGGTGTCCAACCCTGACAAAACTTGAGGCTGTGTCCTCTTGTCCTATCTTAATTAATATATTCATAAGCGATTTTAATGTTAACGAGCTTTTGTTTTTCCTTAGGCAAAAGATAGAGGCTGTGAGGAAGGAGAAAGTGGCTGTGCAGAAGATGGTTGAGAACCTGAAAAAGCAGGTGTGTGGTCAGAGCCCAGAACCTTCTCTCTAGAAACCATCACTGTATAAAAACTGTTCCTTGGATGGTCACAAAGGCGGCGGAAAACGAGCATTTTATAAATTTAAACTTTGATAGCTGTTCTTATTACCTCCTTGGGGTTGATTTGAGGCTTGTTTGACCTGCTGAGAAGACAACAGCTGTAATTATCCAGCTCACAGAGGCTTGAGAGCCCTTTCCAAAGTCAACTTGGAAAGTTTATTTCATAGAAATATAAAGTTTAAATCTTTGTTTTGTAGTCTTTGTGGGTAATGCTTTGCAGTAGCCCGTAGGAAATGGAGATGATGTGACTCAGCCTCTGCTTATTTCCCAGCTGGCTGGTTCTAGGAATGCTGCCAGCTGTTATCCATGTGATTGCTACTTTTATTTTAAGGGTGGTTTGTTATGCTGGCCAAAGTAGAAGGTTTAAGTAGCTTTTACATTCATGTCCCTCTCAGTATTGCTGAGGAAAATTCTTCTTAGAATAACCTATTAGGATAACCTTCAAAATCCACATCAGCATGGCAAAGGGAAGGAGGAACAGTGCTGTGCTGGGTGACTGATATAACTGGTCTAATTAAGGCCAATTAACTGGTCAGAGTCACTGTTGGAGTGACACTTGTCAGATCTTTATTCCCCTTAATAGAAAGGAAATATTAAAAGCCTCGTTCCCAGTGGAAAATCAGTCGTAGCTGACACTGATGTCCCCACTCAGGTGGCAGATCTGAAGACCAGGAACCAACAGCTGGACTCTGAAAATACGGAACTGAGCCAGAGGAACTCCAAAAACCAGGCAGATGTGCAGGATCTCAATCAACAGCTGGCAAGGGTGCTCGAGCAAAAGGAGAGGGAAGAGGGAAAATGTACCCTGGAAGAATGGGAAAAGGAGAGACTGGTACTGAAACAGGAACTGGAAAACTCCAAAAGAAAGGTACAGGGTTATACCGGGACAATTGGACTTCCAGGTGCTATGGAATGGGCATCCCTGTCTTGGGGTGTGTGTGGGGTTTCAGAGCTGAGCTTTGCTGAGTTCTGGCTTAAACATTCCTGCACGGGGCAGGGAGGAAAGCCTGGCAGCAGCCAAAAGCCAGGAGGTAAAAATGTGCAGGTTGGCCTTGAAAATTATGTCAGATATTTCCCTGCACTTCCCAGCATGGCTGTTGTGTTCATCCAGTGCCATCCCAGCTGTAACCACTCTCACTGGCTGCAGCATCCTCTGCTTAACCTTTGGTACCCTGTGAGTCTCCTGAACTGAAATCTGAGCCCTTTGCTTTTTGCAGTCCTCAAATCTGGTGTCGTCCCTGGAGGTGGAGGTGTCAAAGATGAAGGTTCAAGCTCATCTGATGGAGCAGGAGAACCACATCCTCAAGCAGGAGCTGGAGAAGACAAAACAGGTATGGCATCCTATTGCCCGGAGAAGCTGTGGCTGCCCCATCCCTGGAAGTGCTGGACAGGTTGGAGCAACCTGGGCTAGTGGAAGGTGTCCCTACCCATGGCAGGGTTTGGAATGAGATGGTCTTTAAGATCCCTTCCAACCCAAACCAGTCTGTGATTCCATTTGAGTGCTATCAGATAATTCTCACCATCTTTTAATGTATTCTGGGTTGAGAAAAGTTTAATTTCTTTAACTTCTTTAAAGAAAGGTCATAAAAGTAAGGGAATGTAACTCCTCTTGAAACAGTCTCTGGGTACAATGCACAATTGTTCAAATGAGGTTGGGCTCATTTAGACTTTGCCAAAAATCTTTTGGCAATAGTGGATCTACAGGGAGAAGCTTTGGTAAGCACAGAGATTTAAAGCTCTAATCAAGGAATAGACAGGGCAAATGGGATCCACAGGAGAGCATTTCTCTGTGTAATTGGTGATACCCATATAGCTCCATTTAAGGGCTGAGCTCTTCCAGCATGTCCTCTCAGAGAGAATTCCTATTGCTAAATCCATCTGGAGATATGGGTGGAGATAATTTCCTGGAGGGCTCAGTTATCTCCTGTATAAACACAGTTCAACTGGCTGTAAATATATGCTAATAAACACAGATAATGAAGGCTACAAATGAGTCACCTCCCTGATCAGGGCTCCACAAAGTCATTTTCTGTGCAAACCACTCATTTGAGACACCCAATGCTCAGGGTTGATAATGGTCTTTAAAAAGCAAAAGCAGCTGAGGCCTGTTCAGTAATGAGTGAACTGTGGCTGGATGTAATTACAGGCAGGAGATGGAGTGAGGAAAGGCAGGAGAGCCTGGGAGAAGGCAGAGTGCTCAGTTGGGGAAAGGATCAGAAGTCAGCAGTACGGTGGTTTTCCCTCCACATATTTTCACACGTGTCTATTTAGATTAAATATTAGGGAGAAATTCCTCCCTGGGAGGGTGGGGAGGCCCTGGCACAGGTTGCCCAGAGAAGCTGTGGCTGCCCCTGGATCCCTGGAAGTGTCCAAGGCCAGGTTGGACGGGGCTTGGAGCAACCTGGGATAGTTGAGGATGAACCTTTAAAGATCCCTTCCAACCCAAACCATTCCATGATCCCATGACTTGAATGCCAACTTCTGCAGCAGCACAGAAACACAACTGTGAGGGGTTTGCTTTCCACAGCTGCCCAGATGCCCTGATCTCTCTGACCTCCAAAACGAAGTTTCGAGCTTAATTACGAAAAATGAAAAGCTGCAGAAGGAGAAAGAAGCCCTGAGTGAGGAACTGAACAGATGTATTGATAAGGTAAGAAAGAACTGCAAACCCACATCACTTAAAATTCTTGTGTCGTTATCTGTATCACCACAACCTGTAAAACTGCTTTGGATCCTTTTTTTTTTCCTTACCCTCAAGCCAGATAAAGGCTGAATTGCCACTGCCTGATTTTTTTAATTTTTTTTTCCTAGCTGGTCTGAGAGAGGAAATCTTAAATTCTGGAGCACAGCTTTACTGTAATTTGATTATGTAGAAAATTCCAAACGTTGCAGTAAAGGGAGGCCTGGGTATAAATACTGCAGCAGGACAAGGAAGACAGTGTTCTTGGACTTTTATTGCAGCTTTAACATGCTGTAACTCTGAACTTGGGCAGAGTAACTCATGTGCACACTATAAATAATGATCCTGTTGTGTGGAAATTCAGGCTGGGAGCTGAGAGGGTTTTTTTTCTGCTTTCTTTGTGTGGCTGTAACTCCCTCTGGGTTAACCCTCAAACTGAGTTAGAGAAAATCCTGAGTGAGGCTTCCCCTTGTAATCTCATTGCAGGTAGCTCAAGTCAGCTGCTTAGAGAGTGCAATTAGCAGCTTGAAGCAGGAGCAGAAATCCTGGGAACAGCAGAGTCAGGCACTGAAAGCACAGCTCACCATCTCACAAGAAAAGGTACAAAATAGTGATTTGTTTGTTATAACCCTAGATAAAAAGCATTTTGATCATCTTTCATAGTGCTTTCTTTCCCTAAAAACCCCTTCTGATGTGTGCAAAGATGTGGTGCAGCTGAGAGTGGCTGCTTTGATGGGCTTTCAGAGTGATGTTCTTAAAGGACAAGAGGAAACTTCTAAATGGAACAAGGGACTTTTTCCTCCCCCCTAAAAAAAAAAGTGATGCTGTTTTGCATCCACAGCCAAGTTACTTGTGCCAATTCACTCTGCCTGGTTGTTCCTAAAATACTGCAGAAACTTTGCTTCTGCTCTCCTGGTGCAGGAGAGGGGTGTGAGCATCTGGCTGCTTGGCTGAGCACTCTCCTTGGCCATGGGCTGCCAGGAGGAATAAATAATTCAAGGGAAATCTTCTCTTCCAGCACGTCCCAGCAAATGTTCAGGGCTGGAAGGTGTCTCTGTTAAATGCAGCCTTGTGTCTGTATTCAAGGTGGATGGCTGCTAACTTGGAATAAATAGAAAGTTGGAAAATCATTTGGAATTCTAGAGTTGTAAGGTTGGAAAAGCCCTCTAAGATCAAGTCCAACTATTCCCCAGCACTGCCAAGGCCACCACTGACCCACATCCCCAAGTGTCACATCCACATGGCTTTTAAATCCCTCCAGGGGTGGGGACTCCACCACTGCCCTGGGCAGCTTTGCCAGGGCTGGACAACCCCTTTCCATGAAGAAATTTTCCCTAATATCCACTCTAAACCTCCCCTGGTGCAACTTGAGGCCATTTTCCTCTTGTCCACTTGTTCCCTGGGAACAGAGCCTGACCCCCACCTGGCTCCACCCTCCTGTCAGGGAGTTGCAGAGAGAAACTCAATTTACCATTTTCAGGGGGGGTTGTCAGCACTGTACCTTCACTCCTTCCATCAGAGATCCTAAACACATGTGGCACCTGGTCCACAGACAGGAAATCTTGGTCCAGCAAAGCTGATTCCTGCTTGTTACAGGTTCAGAGCCTTGATGAAACACTGCAGAGCACCAACCTCCAAGTGTCCCGACTGAAATCTGACTTACAGGTGACGCAGCAGGAGAAGGAAACTCTGAAACAAGAGGTGGTGTCACTGCACAAGCAACTGCAGAGCACCAGTGAAAAGGTAAAGGGCTTCAGGGGCCTCAGAAGATAGCTGTAATTGTTGTATATTGTATATAACGTGCAGATTTTCAACTGATTTTTAGAAAACTTATTATTTTAAGCGTCGAATGTGAAGGTCAATCCATCTGAGTTCTCATCCTTCCCTGAAAGAAACCTTTTGCCAAAGATAAAAACCCAATTCTGTGGGTAATGCATGGATTTGCACCTATCAACTATAAAAATTAACAAACTAATTGACTGAGGGTCCAATTTCCAGTCCAACTTAGTTTTGAAAGGTAGAGAATTATGCCAGCCTCTCTGAACTAATGAGGATTTGTAACTGGAGGAGGTTGTAGACAGCAGTCTCAGGACTGGTATTATGGGTTCAGTTAGTAATTTGGCTTGTTTGCCCTGTAATTAAGGAGTATTTAATGTCCACATGGAAAAGAGGCTGTTTCAGAATGGTACAACAGGAACTAAATTTCAGCTATTACTGACTAATATATAACACTGAGTCCTATTTTGCTCTAAACAGAGCACAAATTGCCTTTTTTTTTTTTTTTTTTGTGGTGTTGAACTCTGTGCACTTGTTCTGCACTCAGTTATTATCCATGATTTTACTGGAGGGAAGCACTTGGGCTTTGCACATTGAGTTTCTTAGGAGAGAAAACAGCGTGTAGGCTGGGAGGAAAACGGGAATCCTGCGACTTTAGAGTCTGCAGGTGCCAAAAGTCCACGTAAAACCCACCTGAATAGAGGAAATATCTGCTTCTTTGTTTAAGGCCTAACCCTGCAATTCTGTCTGTCTTAAGAATCGGGTTCTGGAAGGGGCTGTGCCTTCCCCAGGGCTGCAGGACCAGCAGGGGCCAATGCCCTGGGATGGAGTGGAGCAGCTGACGGATCGGGAGCAGAGCCTGCTCAGGCAGGAGAATGAGAGGCTGCAGAGGGAAGTGCAGAGCACTAAAACAGACCTGGCTCACTCCAGGGAGAAGGTAACCGGAGCAAGGGGACGGATCACAGGAGGGCTGGGGCTGGGAGGAAGCTCTGGAGGTCATCCAGTCCAACCCCCTGTTGGAGCAACCCAGAGCAGGTTGCACAGGATCACATCCAGGCAGGTTTTGAATATCTCCAGAGGTGGAGACTCCCCAGCACCCTTTGGATATTTCTCTTCTTTAAAAGAAAATCCCCTTAATTCTTCTCCCGTTAATTCTCTGGTCCAAATTCCAGTTAACACCCTTTCATTTTTTTCTTTTAAAAAAAAAGATTCTTAATATTCCCAGCATTCTTCCTGTGCAATTTCTTGGCTCGCAGCAATAGGCAGATTATGAGGAGGAAGGGAGGGAAAGAAAGAGAAAGGGAAAGGGGGAGGACAAGATGCTCAAAGCTAAAATGTCAAAAGTACCCCAGATTTGCCCAGAGAAGCTGTGGCTGCCCCTGGATCCCTGGAAGTGTCCAAGGCCAGGTTGGAGCAACCTGGGCTAGTGGAAGGTGTCCCTGCCCATGGCAGAGGGTTGGAATGAGCTGGGCTTTTAAGGTTCCTTCCAACCCAATCATTCTGGGACTCTGTGAATCCAAAATCAATTGCTGCTCTGTACTGTAGATGAAGTTAGATGCAAATAGATTTTTTTGGATCACCTGGAACATCTTTCCACATTTGCTCTTGTCTTTAGATCCGACAGCTGGAATCTACAATCCTTTCCCTAAAGCACCAAAAGCATCAAAGCCAGTCAGGCATTGTCAAAGCCATAGAGCAGGAGAAACTGAGCCTGAAGAGAGAGTGTGAGCAGCTGCAGAAGGAGTTGTCATCTGCAAACAGGAAGGTTAGTTTTGGGTGGTGAAGTGACAAGCTGTAACTTTGTTCTTTTCCTCCCAGTTTTGTGCTTTTTTGTCTTTTTAAAAAAAAAAAACAAAGCCCTGTCCCAAGGAGCTGACTGTGCCTTGTGCATCTGCAGGGTGACATTCACTTGTGGAAAAGCATTATATTTGTCCAAGTACTCCTGTTTTTTTAGTCTTGAATTGTCTTTAATGGTTCATGACTTGAGTATTGGGGAGAAAAAATTAAAAAAAACCCAGATAAAATAACCAACTTCTATTTCTCTAAGGAAACTTCTCTTGTCTCTGGTAGATCAGTCAGATGAATTCTCTGGAACGTGAACTGGAAACCAGCTCAGAAAATGAAGGGCTAAGGAAAAAGCAAGTCAAGCTGGATGATCAGTTAATGGAGGTACTTCTCAATCAGTGTTGACTGTGGGGCTTTATCCCTGTCTCACTCTGCCTGTGGATTTGTTTTAAAACAGCTTCTAGATGTGTAGGAACAGAGAAAACAGATTGAAACTGGAAGAACTAATGTCTCCTAATATTTAACTTCATCTTTCATGACCAAGATGTGAGCGTGACAAATGCTGTGGCTTATCATAATTCACATAAGGCTTCAGATGTAAAAGCAAATAGCAAAGAAACTTGTTTCTGTGCTTTTGAGGCAAGGCAAACACTCCCCTCTTCCTTCCTAAAACGTGTCACCTCAGATTTCCTGACTAATGTTTGTGTGATGCTGCTCTGAATTTAAGCCTTGTAATGTTATCGTGATAAATCAACAATTTATGCATTTTACTGTTGTTTCCACTCATGCCTCGAAATTTTCAGTTGAGATTCTTCCAAAGGCTGCAAATGATGCTGGATATTAAAACTGTGTAACTCTGAGGAGTCCTTGGAATGGACAGAGCTCAACTGTGTTTAGTGTGAGCCTTAAGGTTCAGCCCAGACCTCTGAGTTGTCTCTCAGTTGATGTCCTGGCTTTGAGTTTATAACATAATATTAAAAAAAAAAAGAACCACAATTTTGGCTTTTGCTATAAATCAAAGCATCTTCCAGATGAGGCTTTTACAACACTTTATTAAGAGACTTCATGTTTTTCATCAAGGCAGCAAGTAGGAAACATTATGCTGAATATACAATGTAATTGGTTATAAAACTGTGAAAACTTGATTAGTAAGTACGAGATTTTGACAAGTTAATGAAAAGACTGTTTATATTCCCTGTGCTTTTATTTATATAGTCTTAATTAAGCTTTGGGAAAATGCCAAGCACTGTTAAACCCTTCAGTGTATAAGCACCAAGCAGGGAATTGAGTTTTCTGCTAAAATGTGTATTTCAAGCACGTGGGATTTTGTTCCTCCTCTTAATGTTTTCCAGGCAGGTGTGTATGTAACATTTTGTGCCTTCTAACTCTCTCTTTTGTGCCTGTTCTCCTTTTGTTCATGGCTAACCTGGCTAGAACTCAGTGGTTGGAAGTAGCAGAGAAGGGTGCAGTTCTCTTTCTGAAATAGTGTGCGAAGGTAGAGCAATGATTTTTGATGTACTGCCATAGCATGGAGAAAACATTTCTTTTATTTCTTTTTTTAACGGGTTTTTCCTTTTATCCCATGCATCTTTTTAAATAAAGGAGCCACTATTCATTTCAATGTTGATTTTTCACTTGGACTGTCTGTGCAATTTGATTCTGTGCCCCCAGAAGCTGAAAATTCCTAAAGGCACCGCCTGAAAAATGGAGAGAAATAACCCAACTGAAGTAAAAAAATAGTTAAATTTGAAAGTGGAAAAAATGAAAAGTGGCTTCCTACTAACCCATTGACTGTGAGGTTTGAAGGTGTTTGCATACTTACCTCTGGTACTTGCATGCTTTTCCACCAGACTGTCCAGTGTATCCCTAAATTAACTGCTCTGTGATCCCACTTGGCATCATCCCAATAGTTTAGCAAGTTCATTATTGCTCCATTTTTGGGTTTTTTTTTTTTTCCCCCACAGATAAACACAGCAGGACTATATTGTTTTCATTATTGTTTCGCTGGTATTTGTTTTTTAAGATGCTGTTAACACTGATTGACTGTTTCTTCATTAGATGCTCGTGTGCTTCACAGCAGGACAGGAACCCCTAAAGAAATTCCACAAAAAGCTCATTATTTTCACTGTTTATATTGTCAGGATAAGAACAGCTCCTTTCCAGACAAGTTGATTCAGGAGAACCACCCCCCCAGATAACTTAAAAATACAAATAGTTTTACTTTAAAGTACCTGTAAACCTATTTTCTGTTTACCTGGGCCAGCAGAGATCTATCTAGAGGTGGTAACAGAAGAGCTGCACTATTGTAAAATATAGTTATAGATGAACTCACCCACTGAAATATGACTTCAAATTGAGGCTTCATTTTACCATGAGTGAAAGGAAATTAAAACCACTTGTGAAAGGGAAATTAAAACTGCTAAGATAATCTTACACACCTTTTCCTAAGGGAACAGAGTAACGGTTTTGGGACAACAAGTGAGAATTTATCAACTGGGGAAGAAATTATTGATGTTATACAAATTCTAGCTGAAACATCAGTTATTTTTACTGTGCAGGTCTGGAATTCTTTAGTATTATAAACTCTTACAACTGTGAGTTACTTACCTGGGTTTTACTTTAGTCTAAAAAAAAAAAATCTAAATTATTTCCTGTGGAAAATTATTATTATTTCCTTAGCTCTCAATACTTCTACAGTTAGTAGTGAACATATGGAAAGATCCATAGGGGTTTAAATATTGAATTTTTAATTTAATGGAATCAAATTGCTGAAGTCATCATAAATGGCCCTGAAAATTTGTTGTGCTTGGAGAATATTCTCTCTCCATCCTAAATTTAAGACTAGAAACAACCAGCACAACTTCAGTGCTTTTATTTGTAAACAGGTGCTATTTTTAGAAGAGCTGCTGAGATGGAGGTTAAAATAAAAATGGAACATTAAGAAGGACTAAGTTAAAGCTCACCTAAACTAAACCTTGACAGGTTTCACCAGAAATTCAGTGGGTTTATCATTCAGGTCTGAAATGGTGGATCAAAGCTCAAACTCCCTTAGAACTGCATGTAGCTGCATCTTTTTTTTTCCCCCTTGGAAAAAGTCGTCCGTGGAGCTTCTCTTGCTGAGTTCAGGCTTGCTTCTGTTGCCCACAAGAAATCTGAGAAGCAGCCTGATGTCTGGAGCATCGCTGGAAGGTCCGGCCGTGCCCACGGGTGATTTATGGGGGTTTTTTTTTATCCCTCTTCTCCAGATGCTCCACTCCAGCTCCAGCGGGATGCGTAGCCAGAGCCCGCATTCCTGGGAGCTCCAGCAGCAAGGCTGTGCCGTGGTGCCCAGGGAACAGTTCCTGCAGCTCCAACACCAGCTACTCCAGGCAGAGAGGAGGAGTCAACGTCTTCAGGAAGAGCTCGAGAGCCGACCCTCGGACACGAACATGCAGCAGGTAAAGCAGAGCTCCCGTTGACCCAGGGGGTTCAACTTTTAAAGGATAACCCACTTGTCCTGGGTTTTTCTTTTTTTCCCCCCCTCCCCCGATTCTGATGAGATCCCTTCTCCGTTTATGCCAGTTCAAAAGTGAAAAGGAAAACTCATTCCATCCAAAGTCTGTACGAAGGGAGGCTGTTTGACATCTTTAACCTGAGCCACAGCTTAGTTCTGAAGTGCTCTCCATCTTTTTGGAACCCAAACCACTCCCATCCACACTCAACTGGCTTTTCTCCTCCTGATCCTTCTGTGTTCTGTAGGGGTTTTTTTGTTTATTTAATGTCCATGTCTGGAACTATTATTTTTAACAATACACCACACCAGATCCATCCCATAAAATCCCAGTTTGGGCTGGCTTTGTCACCTGGAATTCTGTCAGTTGTGATGGGGCAGAATATGAACAAATGAGTCCTTTTTTTATAAGGTCAAATCTTCATGATTTGGCCATAAAACAAGACATTTGTTTGGAGAACGTCGTTAATGTTACAGAGAAACTTCCATGTTGGCATTTCTGAGGAAAACCAGTTCCAAGGAACATTAATTACATCCACTGCCCACACTGGGCAGAGTCACTTATAGTGATATTTTGATTTTTATTTTTTTTTTTTAGCTTGCAAAACTATTATAGTTTTTATTGTTGAATTATTTATTATAATTGAACTATAGGCAACAGATAGAAAAGTTTGCATCTCCCTTATAAAAATTAAGCTTTGGACTGAGCTTGCTAAATTATCCTTTTTGTTTTCAAAGAGTTAATGAATCTCTAAAGCTTTGGCTCAGGCCATAGGTCTTTAAATAATATTCTAACTTCATCTTAAAATAATATTACAGCTTTATCTCACTGGAAAAGATAAAGCTCTAAATAACTTGGATAAAATACTAAATATTTGTATTAGATTGGATGTATTTAGATTAGATATTTATCTAGATTAGATAAACAGATTAATTGGATAAAATACAATAAACTGTTTATTAATCTGTTAGAAAAAAAAAAAACTCTTACATTTTAAACTTAGGTTGTTGTTACAGTTTAAAAAATAATAATAAGACCAACAGTTTGAAGCTCAAAAATCTCTGAACATGGTAAAATAGGGTATTCCTGGGAAAAAAAAGGTATTTTGGAGACAATATATGCAGTAAACAGTTCTCAAAGTTTCCAAAATGTGGAGTGAAAGTTCTTTTTAAAGAAAGGCATAAGATCAAAATGTCCCTTCAATAAAGGAACATAAAAGGAAACAATATGGGGATAAATAGGAATAAATTGACTGTGATCTGATGTCCTTTTCAGAGGTGCTGATGGACCTGGTCCCACCCCACGGAGGGTGGAACGTGCAGTTTAATTTAGGAATCAATAAAAGCCATATTGCAGCAGTGGCAGCTGCAGATGAATGTGCTGGTGTTGCATTAGGAGTGATGACTCTGTGATTTTTTGCTTTTGCAGAAACAATCTGCAAACCAGTCACATCCTGGAACTTGGAGTTCCAGAGAGAAATCCACTTCTGCGTTTCCTGGAAAAGCTTTAATTCTGGAAAGCTCCATGAGTTTAAAAGTACTTGCAGAGAGGCTTTGCAAATTTTTTCTGTCAGTGCACTAATGCACTTAATTCTTCATTTTTTTTTCTTTTTTTTTTCTTGTAGTAAATGGCTGTTTTGGTTCCTAACATTTCCTACAGGTTTTTTCCCGTGGGCTTTGCTAGAAAAGTTTCTAAAATACTATTAAAAACATGCACTCTACAGTTACAAACAAGGCCAAAAAATCGTTTTTGTTTGTCTGAACTTCACCATTTCTGTGAGCACCTCCTGCTTTAATTCTCACTGTCGACTTTTCTTCTCCATCCTGATTGCCAGGCTTAACATTCAGTTGAGTTTATGTCCATTTTAATGTCCCCTTTAGCACCTTGAAAAACTCCCATCCTAATCCCTCTCCTCCAGTGAGTACAAGGTCAGGTCATCTCCCTGCTTTCTGTGTAAAATTTTTTGCTGCTGCTTTGCATTTTGCAGCCTTCTTAGATCCTGAGGTATCCAGAGTTACCCCCCTCCCCTTTTTTTTTCTTTTTTTTAAATGGAATTATTTTGTGTTTGTCCTGCTCTGCAGTTTTCATTGCTTTTTGATTGTGGTGGTGGTCTGTGTTCTCGTTCATTTTACAGTCACTCTTGAGCTATTTTCCCCCAAAGGCTGCTGTCATATGTTGAAATTTCACTAAATTAAATTAAATTATTACTGTTTTTACTGTGTTGACCTCTCTGGACTCTTCTGAATTCCCAGTGACTGTTCCTGCTGTGTCTGATGCTGTAATTCTTTTTTTCCTTACCTCACATTCCTTGCTCAAAAACTACATTTGGGAGCCTGTTAATGACCCAGTATTTCCCAAAGTTCTCTTAGAACCAACCAGTATTTTTGTTCAGGGTACTTAGAGCTGCTCAACTTCCCCTTTTTCAGGTCTTTATTTCAGATTTCACAGAATCACAGTTGGAAGGGACCCACAAGGCCCCTGAGCAGCTGCTTGTTCACTCTGAGGGCAAGACTTAAAATTAGGTTTAAAATAGAAATGTAAGGTTTTTAAAGGTCAGTTGGGCTACGTTTTTTTCACAAATGTTGTTTGGCAACCTTGTGAGATTTTTTTTTTTATATATATACACACTCATATAATGTATGAGGAGATGAGATTTTATTTATATATATGTGTGTATATATATATAAAAAATGTATTATATAGATTTTATATATAAGGAATGTATTATATTGGTTTAGTAGATATAAAACTATATGGAATTTATAGATATAAATTTATTTTGCTTTATATCTACAAAATGTAGTATATATTTTATATCTATAAAATGCAGTATATATTTTTATATAAAGTGTATGAGATATAAGGTATGATAAATATATATAAGGTATGAGATACATATATATAAAGTAGATTACATTATATATATAAAGTAGGGTATATTACATATATATATAAAGTAGAGTATATTAGATATATATACATAAAGTAGGGGATATTAGATGTATACACATAAAGTAGGGGATATTAGATGTATACACATAAAGTAGGGGATATTAGATGTATA